ACTAGTCTGCATCAACACGTACAGAACTGAGGGGTGGGGGGGGGAGAGGGAGGGCGAAGGAGAGAGGGGAGTGTTTTGCGATTCGTTTTAGATGTAGCAATTGGAAGGGGGGGGGGGGCGCCCGTCGGCGATGGCTTGAAAGGCGGCGAGAAAGGAACCGCAGATCTGGACCACTAAGATGTTAAAACTTCGCCCGTTTAAGTAAACAGCCCGCAGAAAAAGAACGCGACCCCGTTTTCCTGGTTTCGGATACATTCGGGCGCTTTCCTGTACTCGTGACAATGCGAGTGTGCGCTTCCTTCTGGGATCCGTACCCAGAGAGAGATGTCCAGTTGACACAGTATACGTGGAGAGAAAACAAAACAAACGAAAGAGGCGATTCTCCTCTTTCCTCTCCCCCAAAAACTTTCTGGGCGTTAAGGGCTTCTTTGATGGTGCCTGGCACCTTCCCTGAAGGCCAAGGAAAAAGCCAGAGAAGCTGGCATGATCCGTAAAAGCTTCTACCTCCCACTTCCCCGCCCAGGGTGGAGGGGAGGGTGGCGAAGGGAACGAGAAGTACCGAACTACGAATTAAAAAGGACACACACATAACACAGATGCTTCTAGCAAAGCGCCCTAAACAAGGCGGAAAAGTTATAACAGCAACAGATGCCCAGGAAGAGCAAAAGCCCCAAACGAGTTACTACCCCCCCCCCCCCCCCGCTTTCCATCCAACCTCTCCCCCCCACACACACACACACTCCGGCCGCTTCTCTACCTTGAGAAAGACGACTCCGCTTCCACATAAAAAGAGGGGAGCCAAACGCCATCTCCGCTCCCCATCATCTTTGTCAACAAATCATAAAAACTTCACCAACTGGAGAAAGGGGGAAGCGAGCGAGCGAACGAGCAGGAGGGATGTGCTTGACGCGAGCGAGGCCAATTGGGTTAAAAGATGCTGCTTCTCGCAGGCCCTTCCAACTTCGCTGGTTAAAAATAAACTTTGCTGTAGGAGGGGAGGCGAGAGAGATGATCTGGATGAATTCCTGAGCTCAGACGGTTTAATATGGATGAGCATCAGGTCCTGCAGGCAACAGTCTGCAACGGGTGTTGCTGGTTGGTACAGTTTGCAACACGGAAGAAGGGGGGGGGGAGAGTCGGGGGGGGGGAAAGGCCAGGAGGAGCGGGGGATGGGGTGGAAAAGCAGAAAAGGCTGCATGGACTTTTCAGCATCACCGACGCTGCTGCCAGACCAACTTTTTCTAAACTTTTTTTCTCTCCTCCCTCCCGTAAAAAAAGCTACGATGCAAAAATTAAAACAAGAAAAAAAAAGTCCTGTCACTCTCAAAACGGTCAAAGCCCCCTGTGCGATTTCTCTTCCCTCCCTCCCTCCCCCCCCCCAGGTCTCATCAACCCGCAAATATATTCCCCCGCCGGGCTTTCTAAACCATCAGCTTCACCGAAACTTTTTTTTCCTCCCTCCTTTTCTTTTCTTTTCAAGGCGCAGGTAGAAATTTGACCTTGCGCTCTCGCGTACTTACGTTTGACTTGCTCCAGACTGGGCTGCTTGGGTCGAGCCATGATGGAAAGCTGGACTGGCGATGGTGCGATCGAGTGGTGGGTTCGTTTTTTTAAAAAAAATAACAACAATGGAGGGAGGGGAGGAAATAGGTGGAAGGAAGAAGAGAGGGAGACGGCGAAGGGAGAAAAACGAAGTTTGTTCCGGAGGGAGAAGGGGGGGGGGAAGAGAGAGAGAGAGAGAGAGAGAGAGAGGAATCAAATTCAAAATGGCGTTTCTATGGATGTGCAAAGTTCATCAACTCTACGATAAGTTCCCTTCTTCCTCTTCCCCGAAGGAAGAAGATGGACAAAGTTATGGACCTTCAGCTCCACAGCTGCCCTTCGAATGCGCCCCCGTCCTCGCCCCCCTGCCCACTTCTCAGCCGCTCTCCCCCCCTCACCCTAAGTAGACACATCACGTGTTGCTCCTGCTAGTCTCCAGGGGACGTGTTACTCAGCCAGGCTGCTGCTCGCTTGTTGGTTGCGAGCGGTAGCATCCCTATCTCTCTCGCTCCTTCTCTTTGGCTGGGAGGGGCTCCTCCTCCTCCTCCTCCTGCTCCAAGAAGAGAAGTGAGTAAAACTTTTCTCCTTCCTCCTCCTTATTCTCTCTCTCTGTCTCTTTCCCCCCCCCCCCCACCCCCGTTGTCTTGAGCCAGGAAGCGGACTACTTAGCAACTTGGGCGACACTTTTGCCAAAGCATCAGGAGACAACTTTCAGCCTCTTCTCTGCCCCCCCCCCCCGCTTTGCAGCGTCGCGCGTATTAATAAATAACTTCGCCGTTCCCTTCCTTCGAATGATGGTGGGGATACGAAGGAGGAAGTGTGCAGACTAGAAAGGCTCTTGGCGGTAACGTACCATCTGGCGGCGGTGGCGACTGCTGCTCCCCTCCATTACAGACTTCCAGTTGTAAGGAGGAAGCGCTGCTGCTGCTGCTGCTGCTGCTGCGGCGCCGAGAGAGGCAGTTGGGTGTTAGCGACTGATAAAGCGTCAGGGATGCAGACGGTGCAGTATCTGCTTTGAAGGGATCTCGGGGCTGACCCCGCTCCCTGTCTCGAGCGGCTTAATCCATTGTCAGCCAGGTGCCACGCATTCATCTCTCTTTCTCTCTCCCCCCCCCGCCACCTAATTAACCAGAAAGGCAAAGAAGCCCCATGTTGTTGTGGCTATACTCCAGCCGAGGGGTGGATGGAGCAACAAGTCGGCGCAATTAGCAATGGGCTTGCAAGCTCCGATATGTAAGCTTAAGTTCAGGGCGTCTCGCAGGAGTCTTTTCTCATCACTTGCGCCATCCAGACGAATGGACAGGAGTAAGTCTCCTCCATGTTACTTCAGATGTTATTCACCCAGAATTAACTTTGTTGTTTTTTTTTAGCAGGCAGAACTAATAGCAGAAAATACTAAATACATGGATATTTTAATTATTGTAATGTATGAGACTTATGTTACTTGCTTCCTTTTAAAAAAATAAAATAAAATAAAAGCCTGGTATGGAAATCAAACAAAGTAGTATCTCAATATGTCAATATGCTCATTATGTCCATTTTTGAGCAGGATGTTGTCTGATTAAGTCACTTTTTGAAAGTATAATTTTGTTGGTTGGGGCATAGTATATAGTGAGCGAGCTCATTCGTTGGGGTTTAGCAAGATGTGCCAGTGGGAGCATTTTGTCATGTTCAACAAACACTGATTGAAAATCTTGGTCTGCATTATGTGGGATCATGTGTAATTAATTTCTTAGCTGCCTTGTAAAACCCATATGCCCAAGGATGCCTTGCATGCCAGCATAGCTCAGTCTTGAACATAATTACCTCTAAGTTCATCAGGCCTTATGTCCAAATGCACTGTGCCCTTAACTTGGTTTTTTTTATTACTTCCTCCTGTCTGATCTTTTTGGATGCTCATAAGTTCCACAGATAGCTGCTGAACTTGCTCCCAAGTAAGCATTTTTAGAATGTAGCCTTAAGGACAGGCTGTTTATTCCTTTAATATAATAGTTTGGTTTAAAAGTATTTAATGTTGGTTCAGCTCAGGTACCCAAGTTAATACTTTTAGTAAGTTTCTTATTGGTTTGAATCCAAATTTGTCACACATGGAGGTCATGAGAAAGGAAATGGGGGGGGGCAGGATTTGTAGGATTTGGGGGCAACTCCAGAGCATGATAAGTATGATAACGGTCCATGAGGAAGGGGTGTGTGAATAATCTAAAATAGGAATTCATTCTTTTCTCCTACACAGAGGCTCTGTTGAATTTTGGTCTATTCTAGGGATGAAAAGAGTTCTACTATTTGTGGGACAGGTGGTTTGCATCCCTTGTCCCAGACTAGTGGAATATTAGGTCTTAAAGAACTCAAAAGATTGTTAAATGGATGACCAGAATTGGTGAGTAAAACAGAATTTCCAGTGAATATGTACTGGTGATACTACAACAGATAGCATATGGTAGCATTGCTTACTGCAGGGAAGCACATTTGCTTTGCAAAACAATTTTAAAATGAACATTTGCCAGAGTGCTGTATTCAACAGGAGTCAAAGGACTTCTTTGTGTTATACTAATAAATCTAGTTTACAGAACTGTATGGGGGTGTTTTTTGATCCCATTATTAAATTGTGTCAGGACAAGTGTGTTGGGAGGAGGGCTCCCTACTATAACTGCAGTACACTGGCTTGAAATCACATGGAATCATTCAGACACCCAATTCAATGCGCTATTCCTGAACACAACTTCTACTCAAATTCATAGAACTGACATAGGCTCTTACATACTTACATTCATCCTGTTAGGCTATGTTCACGTGGTACCCAAAATATTTGCAGAGTTTGTAGGATACTCTGAACATGAACAAACCACACTGCTTGGATTCATGCACTCTGCTAAATGATGGTTCCTTGTGTCCTGTGAATACAGCTGTTCACTATGGAGTCAGGCTTTCTCCTTATTCCTTTATTTTTTTTTCTGGTGATCACAGACAACATCTGGAAAGGAGCCCCAAAGCAAATATTATCTAGACCTGGTCCAAACCCTTCCAAATAGTAACTGAAGAAAAAATATCCCTGCTCAAATGTCCACTCATTCCAGTTTCTTTGTCTTCTCTGTCTCTCCTCCCCCCTCCCCAGCCAAGCATAAAACAGTATTTTGGAACTACTGCATATACTTAACTATCTTTGTGTTCTCTGAGATGTTCCTGATTTGGAAGTGGGTGTTAAACTCTGGCAAGTCTTTGAGTTCCCCTGCAGGTATTACTATTTTGTTCATCACTGGGTGGTTTCAGAAAGGATTAGCATTCAGAAAAGTGAGGTTGCTATTTCTGTGATATGCCTGAGTAAAGTAGTGGTATTCAGAAAGAAAATGGAGAGAATCCATAAATTCACCTATGGGAACTACCTTAAGTTCAGACTCTTACAATTATTGATTTTGGCTACCTGCATTTATCCATGTGCCTCCTGATGCTAGGACCCTTTCTGATTGAACCTGGAAACAGAGATAGCAATTGATGAACCCCATAAGAAACATTAATTCAGTTCCCCACACCATAACTCAAGAGGGATCAATTAGGTGACATTGCCAAAAGAGTGAAAATTGAATACATTTGCATAAAATGTACTTGTGTTGATCCCAATGACTTAAATGTAGAAATGATTACTATGAATTAAACAGAAAGTCAAAGTGCTGTACAACATTCCTTACCGTAAGTGCAGAAGACTATGTCCTGCTAATTATGTGCCTCATTGATAATGGGTAACTGAAGGGCCCTGCTCTCCTCTTGTTAAGGTGCTTTTATCTTCCAAATAGATTTGGAGAACCTTCCAGCCAGAGGAAGTCTTCAGATTGAGGACTGTCCACTGACTGGTCTTGAAACAGAGGATTGTCCTCAGTAAATCAGCTGCCAAATTCTATTCAGCCTTTATAAAAAAAAAAAATTCAAAGGTAGAGAATGTTGGAGATTTGGTAGGTTTAGTTTTCTTTTGCCACTTAAGCTCTTCCTGGGGATGCTGGGATAGAAAGTTATACCAGGAAGAAGAAAAAGCAAAACTGGAAAATGCCAGGCAGAGAAAGGTGACACCTCTACCTGAGATGTCTTTTTCTTTCCCTGTCTCCTTTAGTTTGTCTTAGGAAACCAAGCTTAGCCATTGAGTTACAGCACAAGATTCTCCTCTCATAATCTTCTCTCCCTATTTGATATCTTCAGAAAAAGGGGGGAAAACAGACTGAAGAAAGGAAAGCTTTTCTCATCTAGAAACTCTGTTTCTTTATCATTAACTCTTCACTCCCAATAGCACAAGGAAACAGAGTGAGAGTGCTAGTAGGTCACCTTATATGTTAAGACATAGTGCAGCTCTTCCCAAATTTTTCTGGAATTCCTTAGATACAGAGGTAAATAACCGAGTTCCAGTTGTCCTACATCAGGGCTCTCCAAACTTGGCAACTTTTAAGTCTTGTGGACTTCAATTCCCAGAATTCCTCAGCCAGTCATGCTGGCTGGGGAATTCTGGGAATTGAAGTCCACAAGTCTTAAAAGTTGCCAAGTTTGGAGAGCCCTGTTCTACATAACAGATGGTAGCTGGGTGACTTCGGGTCATTCTGTTTCAATGCAACAACCTCACCTGTCGCTTTTGTGGGACAACAGGAGAAGGCGGCATTGTGTACACCACTTTAAATTTACAAAATGAAGCTGGGGTACAAATTTAGCAAGTAAATAAATAACGGCAACTGATTTGACAGTGCTTGTTTTAAAATGTCTTTTTAGATTGCTGAGCTAATGAAATCTGCAATGCTGACTAACAGAGGGTATGTTTATTAGTTCGTTATGTAAGGCATTCATAAACCACATACTAATGCAAAGCCTTGCTAAGATGATACGTGGAAAACAAATGAACAATAATATGTTACAAAGAAAATACATAGCATTACATATGTAAGAAAAGTTGGATTACGTAGCTCCAAGTTCTCTTTGAGGAAAGCACTAATAAAATAATGGGTTCTAAAATGCCTGTAGCAAAAAAGGAATCACATAAATGCCAGCCATAAGGAGTTCTCTCAATTGTGGAACTTAAGGCAGCAGAAAACACAAATCTTCAACGTAGACGTAGCTCTGAATTACTCAGACTGATGTACTGCAGTGTTTCCCAACCTTGGCAACTTTTAAGATGATGGTGATGATGATGATGATGATGATGATAGAATTGGAGGTCTTCTAGTCCAACCCCCTCCTCAGGCAGGAAACCCTATACCAGTGGTTCTCAACCTTTTTAATGCCGCAACCCCAACCGGTCGTAAGTCGAGGACTAAACCGGTCGTAAGTCGAGGACTAAACCGGTCGTAAGTCGAGGACTAAACCGGTCGTAAGTCGAGGACTACCCACCCGTTCGTAAGTCAAGGACTTTCCCTGCCCGGGAGCGCCGCGCATGCGTGGTTCCGCCCCTTGCGCCGGCCGAGGAGTAGCTGGCAAGCGGCAGAGACGGAGCAGGCCGACCACCAGCTGGCCCAGC